TGTTTTTAATTTTCATCTCCCAGAATGTGGACTTGAAACTTTGTTCCTGCTTAAAAGCTGTTGCATTTAATGTTTCCTTTGCTTGGGAAACCCCTTCTGTAGACAGATAGGATCAGTTCCTCCTTATCCTTCAGTGTTATCTTCTCACAGAAGTCCTCCCTGAACCTCCAATATAGTAAGATCTGAGCCTCCTGACTGGCTATCCATCATCTGTTATTTTCCCCTCAACTCAAACATTCCATATATAATAGGTGTTCATTAGTTTACCAGTGCACTCACCACTAGAATTGAAACTTCCTAAGAACATATTATTGAGTCTGCTTGTATTCTAGTGGTTGCAGGTGCTGGATCCCATAGGCCCTACTGCCGAATTCCAATACTGGCTTGAAAATGGAAAAAAAACAGGCTAGGCCTGTGTGTGCATGGTTCCAATCACTATAGGTTGGAGAAATGGAGAAGGATTTGTGTGACCATGCCCTAGTAGGGATGCTTTCTTTCTCTATGCATCTCTTTGGTTAGTGCAGGCATCTTCTGGTATAAAAACCAAAAAACAGATATTTTGCTTCTGACTTGCTGCTGTCTCCTCAGCAGCTGTCCTCAGTAACTAGAACTGCCTGACACAGGTACTCAGTAAGTATTTTAAGTACTGACAGACAAATGGATGAAATAACCACTCCTCCACTGAAATTTCATGTTTACTTCAGTGAGCTTTGTCTTTAGTTGATAGGACCTTTGGTTTCATTTTACAGAGAAACTTTTAGAATTTTTGCTATGGGTTGCATGTGAGTGCCAGAAATACAGAGAGACAGTAAGAAACCACCCCCCAGGGGATTTGGCCATACTGCAATCTGTTCTCCATCCTTCTCTCAGGATTTTGGGCACGCATGCATGCAGGTCTGGCATGAGTTTAAAGCTGCCAGGTCCGGACTCAACCGTGGTTGACTATGTGGCGACATAACCACTACACCACGTGCTGGTCCACCAAACCCAGCTCTTTCAACTTTAAGATGACTTTTTTAGGGCATTGTCTGCCTTAGCTATGAACCAAGGAGTACTTGGAAAATTTTCTTTCAGTTCTTAGAACAGCAACTAAGAATATGAGGGAACTTCAAAAGTTCATGGAGAAATAGAATTAAAGTATGAGTTTGTTTTGGTGCAAATGATTCTGAGATTTGTGGCATAGTTTTTCCATAGTACACATTTTCATAACTTTTGGAAGACCTCACATATATCACAGATACTTAAAGGTTATCTCTACAGGCTGTGATAATGTATTTTGTCATTCTGAAGAGATGCTTACTCTCTACTTAAAAATCTGCAATAGTTTCCCTGCTCATGATCATGCACCTGTGATCCTTTCTGTGAGACTCCTGGGCAATGAGGAGGACTCTGGCAGTTGGATGGTACATGTATTAGTACAACTTTTGCACTTATTAGGAAAGTTCGGGCACTTTCTGGAGCAAGGTACTGATTTTCTACCATGCAAATTATTGTAACCTGTTAAGTAACATTCAGGCCATCATGAGACTTTTCATAAATGTGTGCTCAAGTTCATGTTACCTAACCCCTGGAGTGACTCTTGTACTGATGTGCTACAATATATTATCCCCTTAGCCTCATATAATCTTCTGTAATTGATCTCTTAGCATCATTATTTAGAAAGCATTGTGTTATTTAGCTATATATTCTATACGTATTTATTTGTTGAACATCTGTAAGATGTAGTCTGTCCTCAATAGCCAATCTTGAAAGGCCCTTAAGGTATACTCAAAAATCTAGAGGGTGTTGGGCCAGTTGGTGGCACAGTGGTTGAGGTGGTTTGATCCCACATGGCTGATGGTATGGTTCAAGTCCCAGACTTGGCAACTTGAAAAATATGCCATGTATGCATGCATGCAAGCATGCATGCCCAAAATCCCAAGAGGGGATTGGAGGAGAAGGCATTATGGTGTAGCCATCCCCCCACAATGGGGTTACTGTCTCTGCCTCCCTCTCTCTCTGGTGGATACACGTGCCTTATAGCAGATAATAATGAAAAAGTCAGAAGATGATGACTGATGGCTTAAAAATGGCTAATATTTATTGAGGCTTATTCTGTCCCAGACATGCTGTATGAAACACCTAAAAATGAATAATTAAAAAAAATACCTTGAAGGTTATGAGGATGCTGGAGAAGAAGAGAGAAAGTACTATAAACTAGAATAGTCTAGGCAGCATTTTCAGAAGACTGAGGTGGACTTTGAAAAATGAGTGGGAGGGGCCAGCAGATGGCATAGTGGTTATGTCGCTAGACTCCCATGTGGCCCACTGGGATTTGAGTCCCGGACTTGATGGCTTCAGAATCATACCTGGTGTGTATATGCTCAAGATCCTGGGAGAATAGAGGAGAAGGATTGTGGCATGGCCGTCCTCCCGGGGGGTGATTTCCCTCTCACTGTCTCTGTCTCTCTCTCTCTCTCCAGAGAGTGCACATGCCCTAGGCAAAAACCTCTCAAAGATTGAAAAAAAAACAGTGAGTGGGATTTGGAAGTCTGTTTTTCTGATTAGGTGTGTAAAGTGGCAGGATAATGTGACATACATTGTTTTGGGTGAAGGAAACAGTGTTCACAATGATGGATGATGTGTGCACGAGAGTACATTGGGAGTGAGACTTAGTGGAAAGGAAGCATTGAGGAGAATGTCTTCTTATTTTCCCCAGTCCTGAAGATTCCATTTGTGGTACCAGAGAATTTCAAAATGGAGAGTTGTGGGGAGCCAAAGAGGAGACGTGAGGAATGTGCAGGACATGACCACCAGAATAAGACCAGGGTCTTTATCCGGACCTGGCCTTGGGTGGCTGGATTGTTATGAGCAGAATGTCTTGGGATTGTTTTGAACCGAATGTTCCAAAGTATTGTTATAACAACCTGATAAATCCAGTAAGGACTTAAAACCTTACATCACAGAAGTCTCTGGAGTGTGTATAAATACTAGCAATAAAGTTCATTCGGTGCTGACCAGTATTGACTGGCAGTCCTCCCATTTCTATCCTGTCTTCTTTCCTGTCTTTAATCCTCACCCCCAACTCAGGAACTGTTCGCTGTTGGTGGGACCAGCAGAGTGGCGCCCAAACAAGGACCTGAGTACCTGGGATGCTGGTGAAGGACACTGCAAAGAGTAAAGGGAGACCATGTTCATCTTAAAAGTGAAAGTGTTGCGGTGAGTAGTTATGGGAGTAATTATAGGACGGGGCAATAGTCATCAGCTTTTTGTACATACGCTTAAATGCTGAGTACATGAGGCTTGCGGGTAGGACAGCAGCAGCTTTCAAAATTTTTAGAATTTATTGAACAAGTTCGTCCTTGGTTTCCTGAGGAGGGTACAGTCCATATGGATACCTGGAAAAAGGTAGGGCAACGGCTTTGGGATTATTACGATGTCCATGGTCTGGAAAAGGTGTCCCTGGCTGCTTTTAGTTTATAGGCTTTAATTAGAGATGTTTCGGATTTTCGTCATGAGCGGAAGAGGATTCTTCCCACCGCGGATAAAGACTCTCCCCCTGTTGGAATTTCTCCCTCTGCTCCTCCCTTTCAGGAGAAGTTGATAGGAGATTTTCCCTCGCCCCCTGAATTGGAAGATGAAGAGTTAACCCCCGAGGAGTCAGAAACAGACATCCTGTAATAGCTCTGAGTCAGGAAAAGACATCTGTCCCTATTTCACCGGAGCTATCACAATTACAGATAATCCCCTGGCTGATGTTGGTTCCCGTCTCATAACTTTTACACACTTAGAACAAGCTGAATATTCTCATCCCCTGATACCACATAATTATTTAAAACATGCCCTATTTGTACTTAATTTTTAAAATGTGGACAAACAAGGATCTAGCACAACTGAACAATTTTGGCATTCCAAAACACAATCTCATTATACTGCAGTCATTTGGAAAGATCCCTTAACGGGTTCATGGAATGGGCCTGACCCTGTGTTGATATGGGGTCGAGGAGATGTTTGTGTTTTTTCGCAGGACAATGATGGAGCTTGCTGGCTTCCAGAACGTTTGGTGCAGTTTATGGACACTCAGAAAGACCAGGAGGATGTTGTGCCTATGGATCTGCCTGAAGATGGTGACACTCATTGCAACAAAAATCTACTGGGCAGGAATATTTCCGGAGGGAATCAGACGGTTCATATGATGGCTCCTCGACCAGAAAACAACTCTGTTAACATCACACAACCCCAATATCTTCCCCCTTGTGCCAAAGAAAATTGCCTGGACAATTGGACCTTATTATGGAAAGAAAGATATAGGTATAAAGGTGTATTTGTGGTAGAAAATGTTAAAAAGAAAGAGAACGTTTCAATATTGAAGGAATTTTGTATGCTAAAATTTTTGTCCTAAAGTAAGATGACTAGATTATTTCCAGAATGAAAAAAGGTAAAACAGGACAAATAATCAAGGAATAAACCATGTTACAATAGGTTTGAGTTATGCTGGAGAAGGTCTGAGAAAGAATTGTAAAGAATTAGAAAGATTTCATGAAAAGATGTATATATAACAGATAGTATCTGAGGTGGCCATAAAATGGACCACACTATTCAGTCTAACTAGACCCAAGGAGGTCTCACTCTCATCACAGTCCAACCCAGTAATAGATAAGAGCTCCAAAACAACGGGTCCAGAAATTGACGACTCCATTCATGCTACGGCTGAGAGCACTGGCATTGATTTAATTCTTTAAGTGCACTGGGAAAGGTCTCTCTAGTAAATAGTCAGCTATCAGGATCTCTAAAAACTGGGTATGCTTAAAATTTAAAATTTACAAACCACGGACAGTACAAACAGCTGGTTTTGTGGATAATGTAACAAAAAATATTTCCATAGCTTTACACACTCAAACTATTGATGAAAAAGTCTAACACAAATTGGATGCCCTTTGTGATACTATCATACATCTGGGAAACCGGGTTGATGGGTTGCATGTGCGCTCTTCTGTTTGATGTCACATGTTGTATCAATGGATTTGTGTCACCCCCTAAGATCTATAATGAAAGCCAACATGATTGGGAAAAGGTCAAAAAAACATAAGGTGTCTGGTGCGGGGCCAATGAAATAATAATGGATATTCTTATACTCCATCGAGAGATCTTGGAGATAGAAAAGACACGTTCCTCTCCTTTTAATGCTGCACAAGAGACAAATAAATTGCTACAGCAATTGTATGGTCTCCTACCACATTGACCTCTTGGCAACAGTGGTTAATGCCTGCTGTTATGGTATTGGTCTTGTGTTGCTTTGTTGTGCCCCCTGCCTTGTGCGAATACTCGGGCGCTCCTTTCTTGGAGTTTGCTCCAAAATTCATCAATTAAAACTTCAAGCCAAGGCATTAGATACAGAGGCTGATAGACAGTGACGGGGAAGATCCTTGGGATGTTTCTCAACCTAAGTCAGGGGGTGCATACAAATATGCATTACCCGATGACGGGTAAGAGAAAATGTCACCAAGGACAACCTAAGACAGGAACAGCCTACTGCCCGTCAGAAGTGGTGGATCATTTAATAAAAAAGGGGGTGATGTGGGGAGCCAAAGAGGAGACGTGAGGAATGTGCAGGACGTGACCACCAGAATAAGACCAGTGTCTTTATCCGGACCTGGCCTTGGGTGGCTGGATTATTATGAGCAGAATGTCTTGGGATTGTTTTGAACCAAATGTTCCGAAGTACTGTTATAACAACCTGATAAATTCAGTAAGGTCTTAAAACCTTACATCACAGAAGTCTCTGGAGTATGTATAAATACTAGCAATAAAGTACATTCAATGCTGACTAGTATTGACTGGCAGTCCTCCCGTTTCTATCCTGTCTTCTTGTCTGTCTTTAATCCTCACCCCTCCCCCTCAACTCAGGAACTGTTCGCCGTCGGTGGGACTGACAGAGAGTAGCAATAATAGAGAAAATTGTATAAAGTAAGGTTGTTGAGAGTAGAAATGAAGATGGAAAAAGAAAATTTGAAGCTGAAAAAGGAAGAATAAGCTTTAATGCGTAAGAATTAAAATAATTTTTTAACTATTTCAAAGACTCACTTTACTCACAGTAAATTCTATTACAGTTTGTATAGAAACCATCATTTTAGGCCTCCCCTTTAAGTTAACTCTGAGTAGACAAGTACTGAGAAAATAAAACTCGGGACCAGCAGTTAGTGTAATGGCTATGTCGCTGGCCTCCCATGTAGTCGACTACAGTTCAAGTCCCAGACCCAGTGGCTTAAACTCACACTGGGTGCATGTGCGTGTGTGCCCAAGATCCTGGGAGGAGAATGGAGGAGAAGGGATTGCAGCATGGCCATCCCCCCAGGGGGTGATTTCTTGCTTTCTGTCTCTCTGTTTTTCTGGCAAGCACACGTGCCCTATAGCAAAAACCTCTAAAAAATAAATAAAAATAAAAGCTCATGTCTGAAATTGAGTTCTTCCGATTTCAGGAAATCCCAGAAGAAATTTTGTAAAGTGGGTTCAATTGCCTATATTCTCCTTTCCTTTGCTTTGAAATAAAAATCATTAGAATTTTACCTTGTTTCATACTTGGAGTCTGTCCATTTTACTAAGGAAAAAATTTTGTAATCAAAATATATCTGCTTTAAATTGGCACTTGATGGATTTTGACCAGAAAGAATTTATAACCAGATACCTCTTCAGGAGCTGCTGTTAGTGAGCCAGGTACGAATCTAGGTCCAATCAGATCAAACGCTGCAATAGAGGAATCATTATCACAGCTGGTGCCTGTGTTGTAGACGTTCTTCTCTGAGAGAACAAGGGCTTGTTGCTAAAACTGTGCTCAGTCTCCAGTGAGATTTGCATATGCCTCTTCCTACCTTGGGAGAACAAACTGAAACCTTACTCGTTCTAAATTCACTTGAAGAAACTTTAGAATTTTAAAATGGAAAGCACACACGATAATTCTTAGGAAATTATTTGTATGTTGTATGCATAGTAAATAAACATGTATAGTTTTACTTTTCCAGTTTCAGTAATTTAAAGCTCACGTGCCTCTTTTATCTTACACCATCCTTCCAGCTGTGTATAGTGGTATTTTTTTTTTAAAGAGATTTTTTTGCCTTTGAACATGTGTACTTGCCAGAGACAGAGACAGTGAGAGGAAAAGTGAGAAATCTCCCCTGGGGGTGGCGAGATGGCTACACTGCAATCTCTTCTCCATTTTCCTCCCAGGATTTTGAACATGGATGCACATGCACTCGGTGTTATTTTCTAACCACCAGGTCAGGGAGTTGAACTCTGTTCAGCCATGTAGGAGTCCAGCAACATAACTATTACACCATCTGTTGGCTCCCCAACCGTGTCTAGTTTTAAAAACTATGTTTTTGCAATTCTGTGCCCTTGGTTAACCAGTGACTTGCAATATATTCACTAGTCTGTCTATGACTGTTGAACCCAGACTTTTTCCTTCATAGTAGACATTTGCTTGTTGTGACCATCCTGCCTGCTTAGTAGTCCACTATTGAGCAAGCTATTAAAAATCTTCTTAAAAGGGGGCCGGCAGGTGGCATGGTGGTTAAAGGCGCTGGATTCCCACATGGCCGACCGTGGTTCAATTCCTGGACCTGGCGGCTTGCTTTCTCACTCTCTCTCCCTCTCTCTCTCTCTCTCTCTCTGTCCCTCTCTGGTCAAATTGAAATAAACAAATGAATAAATAATAAATAAAAAGTTAAATAAAATTATAAAAAAAATCTTAAATGTATACTTGGTAAACATTGTATTCTGCCATTCCCTTTTGTAATGCACTGCAGTTGTGTTTACTGTGTGTTTATTGGAAACATTCAAGGTTTTTTTTTTTTTTTTTTGGGGGGGTTTTTCTGGTGCGTGTGCTCGCCAGACAGACAGAGAGAGACATGGAGACAGAAAGCAAGAAATCACTCCCCAGAGGGGATGGTCACGGCACAATCCCTTCTCCATTCTCCTCTCGGGATCTTGGGCACACACGCACACGCACCCGGAGTGAGTTTTAAGCCACCGGGTCTGGGATGCGAACCATGGTCGACTACATGGGAGTCCAGCGACATAGCCATTACGCTAACTACTGGTTCCCACATTCAAGGGTTTTTGTACTAGTCAGTTTTCCATCATTATTGTTTGCTATATGATCCATTTGAAAACTTTCATGTCATTTCCTATGAAAGAGGAAGAGTTGCAGTTTTACTGGGTGGCAAACTTTGTTTTGGAATTAATGATGTGAAACATATTGTCAGACGAGGCTATTATGGTTCCATGCATTCAATACAGTTAATTTAAAACAAAGCAAAATATAAACTTGTATCTTTCATTTGTGAACAGCATGAAGAAAATATTTTACCTAGTTTTAGAAAACTTCATGTGAATACATTTTTTCATTTGCTGGGGTATCAAGTCTTACTTTCAAATCTGTTTTTATTTAACTCTTAAATATCCCTTTTATATTGCTTTTCAGAAATAACTTTTTTAAATTGAAAACTGAATATTTTTACTAATGATTCTTCCATACTGTCTCTTTCCTCAAACTTGGGTACCAATGCCACTTTTAACATAAAAATATTAAAAAATTTATTAAATATATATACTTAGCTAATTTTCTTAGTCATATTTTTAGATGTTTAAAAAAAAGAAATCATACCTATTTTATTTGGCTCTCCTTTTCTTAGACTCTGAGAAAAAAAATACATATTGGAGGCCATATAAATAGACTATAAGTTAACTTTAAATTTTTATGTATTTCCTTATGTCCAAATATGTATTACATGGCTCATTGAGTTATTTATGCAATAAAAAAGAGTTTTAGATTAAATATGAGTTTTCAATTTTTAGTCAATTTAAAATATTTGCCCCAGGTTAAAATGTTAACAATAATTTGAAGAGTTGCTTAAATTAAGTTACCCTTTCACAGTTGTCCAAAAAACATTTGTTTGATGTGAAATAAGAATTGAGCATGTTGGCTTAAATGCCTGCAGTTTTTAAGAGGTGTAGCAGAGGGGAAAAGAAATGGATTCATTTTAACTCTAGATGGCACTTAAACACAACTAACAAAGACCAACTTTTTTGAAATACAGAAACACAAAAATAGTAAAACACAAGCACATACACACATTCTGTTCTACCATCCAGTTAATTATATTCTGAAAATGATGTCTCGGATTGATATTACTAAACAAACATGTATAAAATGTAATTACACACAAGCGAAATAAATAGTGGAGGCCTGTAATTGCAAATTTTTTTTTAAAAGCTGGTAATATGGCATACATCCGTGCAATGGTTTATATTGCTTGTATTTTATTTTGTCATTTTTACTAACATTTAGTTCAGTGTAGTTTCATTTTATGTACAATTATTTACCAGTAGCAATTTAAACCATATGCCATTGGGAAAGCTATTACGTAGTTAATGTTTTGAGATATTTAAATAGAAGCAAAGCCCATTTTCATAGAGAAATGCGTTTGATTGAAGTCCACTCTATCTGACATAGATAACCATGCATATATTGGGCTGTCAGAAAAGTCATGACATAGTTTTTCTATGCAAACATGCATCGTGACTTTTTCTACATCCCAACATATTTGACATTATGTTTTCTTTTCCTTTGCATTTTAAAAAACTAATTTTTAAAGTTTTTTTTTTTTTTTTCTGAAGGCAGAATTTAGCATAGTGGTTAAGGTGCTGGACTTTCACATGTCCAAATTGCCGTTTGAGTCCTGGACCTTGTGACTTGCTTTCTTACTTTCTCCCCTCTCTCTGTCTCTCTCTGGTGAGAACACATGCCCAGTGGCAAACTTAAAAAAAATAATAATAAGGGCCAGCAGGTGGCATGGTGGTTGAGGTGCTGGGCTCTAAACTGCTAACTGCAGTCTGAGTCCTGGACCTGGGGGCTTGCTTTCTCACTTTACCTCTATCTGTCTGTCTGTCTCTGGTGAGTTTGTGTGCCCTGTAGCAAATTGGAAAACAATAATAAATAAAATTAAATCTTTAAAAACAAAAATGATATTTTGCCATAGGGCATGTGTGTTTGCCAGAGAGACAGAGGCAGGGAGAGAGGGAAAGTGAGAAATCACCCCCAAAGAGGATGGCTATATTTCAGTCTCTTATCTTCTATTTTCCTCTTAGGATTTAGGCACACACAGGGCACTGGTGTGATTTTCAAACCAGTAGATCCAGGACTTGAACCATCGTCAGCCACATTGGAGTCCAGCACCTTAACCACCATGCCTAATGGTAGTCCCTAAAAATATTTTTTTTACATATAAGTAATGCGCAATGTTAGCTTGTTTTCTAGGGTACTGCTTCTGATGATGTTCCTAAGTGAAAAGTTTGCCAGGTGATACTTTTTGCTCTGAAAGTCAGCTCTTTGAGTGACTGTTTCCATTGACTTTTCTAGTGCGACTATTGTTTATAATTACTGAGCATTATGGTATCTAGCAATTAGTGCTCAAAGAAGTTAAAGTAGACCTAAAGAATTGCATTTGAATTATCAGGTGGCTCAGGAAAGGAAAGAATGCGATATCTTTAAAAAAAATTACATATTTTCT